ACTGGCCTGCTTGCCACGATCCACCCAACGTGCTGGGCGACACGAAGAGTGAGCAGAACTGAGAGCACTACACATTCATATCACATGCATGTAAGAGCTGAGTCTTAGACGGCGATGTCATTCTCAACTTCGATATAGAAAATGAAAGCTGAAAACTGCACAAGGGCGGGACGGTCTGCAGCACTCGCTGCAGCTAATTGTGTGTGCATGCGGATCACGAGACGCCTCTCGATGGGGGGAGCTATGTCCGCAGAGCACCACCACCACCACAACGGCCCCCACGCGAGGGACCACTTCACTGGCGACAGCGCGACTGATGGGAGGAACGAACGCTGGTGCGGGGCCGCTGTGCTCCGACAGCGCCCGACGCCGAGGCGTTCAGAACCGGGCCCGAAAACACGGCCGCAGTGGGGTGGCACATGGACATCATCTGAGGTGCAGGACTCGAGGATCCGTGGGAGAATCCGAGCCCAAATTGGAGATGGGCGCTCACTCAAGCGCGGCGGGAAGCACCGCGCCCGTCGAGATGAGATCTGGGCGAACGACCGAACAACGATCGGGTCCAATGCTTACCGCACGGAGCCGCTGCACCCTCTGTCCCTCGCCGGCGTCCCCCCCTTCGCCTCTCAGGAGGTGAGCGCCCTGCCTTGAGGAATGAGCCCTTCCCCATTCATCTCGGGCGCGGCCTGACCGACCCGAACCCACGCAAGCCATTAGTCGGGCGTGTCTCCCTACGGGTGGATTCTGGACGAAAATGAAAAAGCACTCGTTGAAAATAATAACAAAATCGTCCCCAGGCTATTCTTGGACTATTTTTGAACATTTGGGGGATCGGCCAGGCCGCCCCTGACCTTCACCTCCCTCCCCCCCTCCCCCCCCTCAAACGTCTTCGACCACGGACCCCTCGTTTTAGCTCGGGCATGTCCTCCTACAGGCGGATTTGGGATGAAAGTTCAAGAATACTCAAAAAAACAATAGAGAAATCATGGAAGAATCGTCCCCGAACTATTTTTGAATCATTATTGAAGATTCTCCCTGTAGAGGGACATGTCCGAGTTAACCGTTGTCACCCATCGGCACTGGGCGTCTTCGGCGATCTGTCTGGTGGTCCTCGACGGTTTTCCGGCGGTCTGCAGCGGTCTCTGGCGCGAGAACTGGATGGCTGCGTTCAGCGCTCGCTGTGGTGGTCGTCGACAGTTTCCGGCGGTCTTCAGCGGTGTCTGGCGCGAAAGCTGGAGAGCTGCGGTCAACAAAACATATATATATATATATATACATATATGATCGAACACCGAGACCACCCTACCGCCGCCCACCCACCTTCCCAAACATCCGATGTAATGTTATTTTGTTCGCGACGTGGCGTCTGCCCTGGACCTGGCGCCAAGGTTGCCAAGACCCCTGGCCTCCTGCCTCCTGCTCCTCCCTCCCTCCTCAAATTCCTCCGTCGTCGGCTGCTGCATCGTGGAGTCCCCTTCCCCATCAGTTGGAAAACCGACCGTTTTCGGGGCATCTCCATATTCCACGGTTCTGGCCACAGCGTATTGCCTTGAACCATTCGATCAAACCCTGACAACCGCCCTTTCACCCCGAATCGTTTTCTGATGGACCCACCGTACTATGACTCGACGTTTGTCCTGGTTCTTCTACGCCTGCAATATGCCAAGAAACGGCATGCGGATGCAGAAACTGCACAACAACAACCAGCTGGGAGGTGCCTCCAGCCGCCAGGGAGGCCTAGGGTCCCACCATCCTCTCTGCCGATGACCCTCACAACCCAATCGCTTTCCAATCGTCGTGGTATCCAAATAAAAGCGGGACAAAACACGATACCGCTACTCTCGGGGGTGGCCAAGAGGGGGGCGCCAAAGAGGGGGGGGGAGGCAAATCATGGCAGGCGGCACGTGCGCGGCCCAGGGGGGTGGGGGGGGGGCGGGGACGTAATGAGATAGGAGAGGGCGCCATGAAATCCGGGGAGATACCATGGCCCCCGCCACGAGATCCACCCCCTCCCGGAAGACGCCAATGTTTTTGGGTTCAGGATGTCCGGAATCCGCCATGTGCGAGGAGTTCCGGAGGTGGTGGGGGCGCGCGCCTGGGGCGAGCCACGAAAGGACGAGCAAGCGGAGGAGGCAGATGAGGCGCCATCGAGAGCTCCTCCGAGAGCCCCGCTGTGGACAGCCTCGCCGCAGACAGCACTGGGCAGCCAGTCGGGGGGAACCCGAACCCACACATCCAGCCTCTGGCCCCAGGACGCCCCCAGGTTGCCTCCAGAGGCCCCAAACACGAACGGAGCCCCCAAACCCCCCCGAGAACCTCCCAGGAATCTGACGAGCCTCGTGGACTGCAGTCCTGGACGCGCAGTAGTATATATAGAGGGGCCAGCGGCTGTGGCGTCAGCCTATAGAATCATCAGCCCCCTCTGGGCCGCCCCCGATTCTCCTCGCCTGGACACGTCCCGGGGTGCATGTTGCCAGGGTTCCGAGGAGAGCACGGCCGCGGCGACGCGGGCGGGCGGCCCCCGCCTCGGCAGCCCGTCCTCCCCCCCTGAGAGGCGGGCAAGACCTTCCGGGTGGGCCCGGAAGGGGGCCCAGCGGAGAGGGGGGGCGGTGCAACAGATCTGGTGCAACAGGTCTGTGGGCTGGGAACAGTTCTGGGGTGTGCCATGCAGTCTGGTGCGCACCTGTACACATATGTATATATATAATGTAATATATACATACCGCATAGACCACCCTTCGGGTGATAAGGAGGTGAGGGGGGGGGAGGGACCAACGTCGCACTCGATCGATCTCACTATCGAACTCACTACCGATCTCACAATCGATCCCAATCGATAGATCTCACAATCGATCTGACTATCGATCTCACAATCAATCGCACAATCGATCCCACAATCGAACTCACATTCGGTCTCGCTATTGATCTCATAATCGATATCACAATCGATCTCGCACTCGATCAGACTACCGATCTCACTATCAAACTCACTATCGATCTCTCATTATCGATCTCACATTCGGTCTCACTATCGATCTCACTATCGATATCACTATCGATCTCGCATTCGGCCTCACTATCGATCTCTGTATCGAACTCAGTTTCGATCTCATTATCGATCTCACTATCGATCTCACCATCGATATCACAACCGAACTCACAATCGATCTCACAGTCGGTCTCATCATCGATCTCACTATCGAAATCACTATCGATCTCATTACCGATAGTGATCTCACTACTAACTCAATCGATCGATCTCACAGTCGATCTGACTATCGATCTCACAATAAATTCAACAATCGATCTCACATTCAATCTCACTATCGATCTCACTATCGATATCACAGTCGATCTCACAATCGATATCCCATTCGGTCTCACTATCGATCTCACTATCGATCTCATTATCGATCTCACATTCGGTCTCACAATCGATCTCACTATCGATCTCACAAGCGATCTGACATTCGATCTCACGTTCGATCTCACAGTCGATATCACTACCGATCTCACTATCGATCATCAAAATAAAACATCAACATCGTCATCATCATCATCACCATCACCATCACCATCATCATCATCATCATCATCATCATCATCATCATCATCATCATCATCATCAATATCATCATCATAATCGGGACACCGACGGGACACCGGCGGGACACCGCGGGCCCCCGGCCGCCCGGAAGGGAATCATTTCGTCCGGCCGCGCCTCAGCCACACGGGACACCAGCGGGACACCGCCGGGACACCGCGGGCCCCCGGCCGCCCGGAAGGGAGACATTTGGTCCGGCCGCGCCTCAGCCACACGGGACACCAGCGGGACACCGGCGGGACACCGCGGGGCCCCGGCCGCCCGGAAGGGAATCATTTCGTCCGGCCGCGCCTTAGTCTCAGGAGACTTTCTCTCGCCCGCCCACGCAGCTTCGCCTCGCCCGCACGCACGGCACGCACGAACACGAAACCGAAATCGATTTCCCGGTAAGGGGGCTCTCCGTTCCACTTCGATCTCACCCCCTCACCTCCGATACATACAGAGAGAGAGAGAGAGAGAGCGAGAGAGAAAAAGAGAGAGAGAGAGAGAGCGAGAGAGAGAGAGAGCGAGAGCGAGAGAGAGAGAGAGAGACAGATTGCTGGATTTCCACGTGCAGTACACTAGTAGCAATACAATGCAATATAATTCTCTGGCGCGCGACATTTGCGATACAATTGCCAAAAATCTATCGCAGCACCCCCTTTCAGCTGGACCCCCTTTTGGGTCACACCGACCCGCGCCGTCCCCAGAAAGGTCCATTTCCCTCTGCCGCTGACCGCACCGAGGGGCAACGCCAGGGTGGGCGGGCCGGGCTCAGAGGGGGGGAAACGTCGGCCCGGAATCGGCGATGCCTCGCCGACGGCTCGGCGACAGCCCCCCGACAGCGAACCCGCACGGTCCTGGGCGGTGGTGGCTATCGGGTCCCTCTCGGCGATCCGTGGGCGATTGGGGGCCGATGCGCCCTCACCCGAGCCTCTCAACCTGCTCCCAGCTTCGCGCTTCGCGCTGCGCGAGGCGCGAAAAGCGAATGGCTTCGCGCTCTCGCGCTGCCTCCCAGGGGAGAATGGTTGAGCAGGGACCGACCGTCCGGGCATTCCCGTAGCCATACCACGAAATGTTCCCAGAACCCAGAAATGTTCTAAGAACAACAACAATGTTCTTAGAACGTAAACCCGATGTGTTAAAACAAGACAGTCCCAGCTAGAAATGTTCTAAGAACATTTCGTGGAAACCACAGAAGGCTCTTAGAGCATTGTTTGGTAGGGCTATAGGCGAGCCAGGACGCTTCGCCACTGCTTGAAGGAGGAGGAGGAGGAGGAGGAGGAGGAGGAGGAGGAGGAGGAGGAGGAATCGGAGCCGAACCGCGGAGCGCGAAGCGCGAACCATTTCGCGCCCTCGAGGGCGCCCTTGCTCTCCCTCTCCCCGTCTCTCGTGCTCTTCTGGGCGTGGCTCGCACCTCCCGGGGGCCCTCGCGGCGGCGACCCCGTGGGCACCCGCGGCCCGCCCTCGACGCGGGCCGCTGCTGGAGAGGGCACCCCGAGGCGGCATGGCCGCCGCGGCCCGACGGGCACGCCCGCGAGCTCTCGGACCTCGAGCCTGCCGTCCCCCCCGAAGCCCATCCCCCCCAACGCTACGCCTATTGACTACCTACCAGACCACCCCAACCCAACCCGAAGACCCGAATTTCGGGTTGGGGGGGGTAAGGGTTCCACGCGTGTTTTTTCGATGTTCCCCGACCCCCCCCCACTGGAAATCGACTGTACATTTGAGCCTTCGGGTTGGGTTGGGTGGTTTGGTGGGTGGTGACCTATGTTGCTCCCGTCCTACTTGAGGACCGCATCCCAGAAATGATTCCGAGCACCCGGAGAAGTGGCAACAAAAAGAGTATCGGAACGGTGTCGAGAGCAGCGTCGGGCGAGGGTCTCCCAGGGTCCGACACGTGAAAACCCTTGTCTCTCGGTACTTTTTGGGGCGCTCGAAATTCTTCCTGGCGATCAAGGCGAAAGTAGGCTGGAGCACCAGAACGCTGCGCCTGATAGGACCCCGCGCCCATGGCCGCAGCTCGTGCGCACCCGGCGCGCGCGCGCGGGTTGTTGGGGGTGGCTCCGGGCCGGGAGGCGGCGCTGGGGGGTCTGAGCTGGATGGGCCCCAAGAAAGTCGGCCAAGGGGGAGGAGGAGGCCAAATCCGTCCGTTGGAAATCTATACTCGGGCCCAGCCTGGGGCCCACCTGGTGCAATTTTTGTTCACCAATTTTCAGCCCAGGTTTGTTTTTATTGTCCTGGGGCTGGAAAGCGGCCCCGGGGGGCCCAAAAGGTCAAACGCCTGACCGAAACCAAAACCTCGGACCTGGCCCCCCCCCCTCCCCCGCCCTTCCCTCCCCTTCCTGGTCGCTGGAACCAATGCTGGGCCACCTCAAACCCACAGCCTAAAAGCGCTCCCAGCTTCGCGCTTCGCGCTGCGGGAAGCGCGGAATGCAAACAACTTCGCGCCCTCGCGCCGACCCCCAGGAGAGAAAAGGAGGATGAGGAGGAATCGGAGCCGAACTGCGACGCGCGGGTAACCTCGCGCCCTCGAGGGCGCCCTCGGCTGGGGGGCGCCTCCGAAGTCGTCGCCGGCCTCGATGTCCTCGCCGCGCGGGAGCTCGGCGGCGGAC